GGAGGGTACCTCCAAAGACAGGAACAAGAAGGAAAACTCCTCAGAGACAGGGACAGGGACCCACGAATGGGTGTGTATATAGTTACATCTGGAAGTGGAGGAAATAATAACCCCCCACGTTTATATTACACTTTACAGTCGTCCTGTGAGGGAAGCAAGACAGTTATTACCAACCCCTGTCTTGTAGCTGTTCTGAGACACATGAATGACCAAGGGCCACATAATTAGTGGGTAGCTGAACCTAGACTCAGACCATCAAGTCAGGCTCTCAGCAGGAGGTTCCCTTTGCTGGACCATGCTACTGGCTGTCTGGGCTTCCAGAAGCTCAGCACTGTCAGGTAAGCACCGTCTGCCCCTCTCTACCTCTCTGATCCTGGAGGCTGATGATTTGGCTACATCAACTTTTTTTTTTTTTTTTTTGGAGACAAGAGTCTCACTTTGTTGCCCAGGCTAGAGTGAGTGCTGTGGCGTCAGCCTACCTCACAGCAACCTCCATCTCCTGGGCTCAAGCGATCCTCCTGCCTCAGCCTCCTGAGTAGCTGGGACTACAGGCATGCGCCACATGCCCGGCTGATTTTTGTATATATATTTTTAGTTGGTCAATTAATTTCTTTCTATTTTTAGTAGAGACGGGGTCTCGCTCAGGCTGGTTTTGAACTCCTGACCTTGAGCAATCCGCCCGCCTAGGCCTCCCAGAGTGCTAGGATTACAGGCGTGAGCCACCACGCATGGCCACTGCATCAACTCTTAACTAAATTGGGCTATTGCTTCTTTTCAAAACAAACCTTTGTTTCCAACCTATGTGTCTTTGTGCTTTTGTTCCCCTCACCATACCCTTGCTCCACATCCCTTTGCCTAAAAGGTAACTATTATCCTTCAAGATGAAGAATGCCTACCTCTTGCTTCACTAAGCTTCAGGCACTAGTCTGGAGGCATCCACACAGCACGTTTTCTGTACCTCTCGGGTACCCTCCATGAGATGCTGTGATCCTTCAAGGCACGCATCTTACCATCCATAATGGTCATACTCCAACAGTACCGAGCACAAGAGTCTCACATGAGTTCTTATCAAGTGTTGGTTGAATGCATGATTGAAAAGAGATGCTGTTGGTTTGTCGGCTGCGCTAAAATGCCCACCATCCCCAGCTTTGTCTATGTGAAGCACAGCATGCTTTTGTGCTGATGAATCTTTTCCATCAGCTGTCATTTCCCAAAAGTAGAAAATGTATTTTCTCACGTGGCAAGAAGTCTGAAGTTAGTTCATTCTCAGGGGTAAGTAATGCATTAAAGACGAGTGTTACTCTCCTCCCACTTTGGAACTTGGTGTTTGCTTTTGTCTCAGGCTTGTCCCTCCTGTTTACAAAGTGGCTGCGACAGCTCCAGGCATTCTACCCTTTAACAAAGAATAATCCAATCAGCAAGACCCAACTTTCGGGCAAGAAGGGGAGGGACTTTTTGAAGAGTGAAGAAAACTTTCCTAGAAATCCCAGACTTGCCCTCGTGCCTCATTGGGCAGAATTAGATTCCATGGCCATTTCTCAACCAGTTGTTGGCAAACCGAGCTGAATTGGCACAATTAGATTAACTTCACTAAAGATGTATGCTCAGAGGGGCTGAGAATTCCAGCCTCCTTTGAGGTGCCTTAACAAAATAAGAATTCCCACAGCAAGAAAAAGGGAGAATTGGTATGGATTGGGCATCCAGAGTATTTGTGCCATGGTATTTTCAGTATGTTTCACCTTTGATATTTTTGCCTCTTTGCCCCACAGAATCTGACGTGCTTTTGCCCAAAACAAGCCTTTCTTTCTGATTTCTGTACACTAGGCATATGAGCCTTTCAAATGTCTCTTGCCTCACAGTGTCTGGGTAAAGGATCGCCAACTTGACAACGTAGAATTGTTTGTGCTCTAGCAGTTGAATATATTATATCAGTCTCAGCAACACCTTTCACCAAAGGATGAGACTCCACAGCTATCAGATCTTCTTACCCCCAACTCCACAAGAGTTTCATGGCAACAGTGGTATACCAAGAAATGGGGAGAGTTGGGAGTGGTCAGACCCTGGGGCAGGCAATAAGGGGTTTTTGTATATCTGTAATGAATTTTAAAGCAATGATACTCCTCCAAATGCAATTTGGTATCCTGGATTTAACACTGGAACAGAAAAAACAATGATGAAATCTAAATAAAATCTGCAGTTTGCTTAATAGTGTTGTACCGATGTTAATTTCGGTATTTTAATAAATGTACCATGCTTATGTAAGCTGGTGAAAGACATATGGGAATTCTCTATATTATTTTTGCAGCTCTCTTATAAAGTTATTTCAAAATAAAAACCTTTTTAAAATGTTAAAATTGACTAAAAATTGATCTGCTTTTTCATTATCACCATGTGCTGGCTATTCTAAACAATGTGAGGGATAAAATACTTTCTCCCCTCCCCCAGATCTTTTGGTCTAAGTTTTAAACAGTTGCAGATAACTGTTAAGTCTCAATAAGTATATGTGAGCTTCAACTTATCATATTTTTGTTCTTTATCTTTTAATAAACATTGCATCCTACCTGCAAGTTAATCCTAGGAACTCTTATATATACTGTCAGCCCCTGATATATGTGGTCTCAGATGTATGTTTTGGTTCGTACCCAGCTAACATCATCTGAGTTTATTAGGGGCATCTGAGTTTATTTCATGTTTCCAAACTGGTACTACAGATTTTTGTGTTTCAACCACAAATTTGAAACAAACAAGGACAGTTCAGTGATTGTAAAGATGAAGAAACAGAACTTAAGTTACTTTAATTCTATCATTCTACGTAACCACTGGAACCTTTTATTTGGGTTTAACATTTAAAACAGTGAAATAGAGTATATGCTGTCATTACCATTATTTGTCTCATGGCAAGGATTTTTTCTGGAATTTTTTTTTTTTCATCAAGAGGAGCAAGGTGTTAAAAAATGATCTGCTCCAGGTATCAAATATGCTAAGCAAGACAGTGAGTGGAATTAAGATTCCAGGTAGCAGAAACTACCTTAAAACATTATGTAGCCACTCTGTCACTTTACAGGCAAAGAAAGCAAGGCCCAGAAACTTGCTGTGTATAAGGATTTGATGAATCCGGGCAAGCTCAGGGCCCCTCCCTCCTGGTCTTTTGCTCCCACTATGGTCTCTGAGTCCTATGCCCGCTCTCCTTTAGCAGACAGACAATAACTCAGAAATACGAAGTCCCCTCCCCAGCATCAGCTAGTGACTCAGTGACAGAGTAAGGCGTGGGAACCCGGACTCCTGAGGGCTCCAGGGCTCTAACCACTGCACCCTGTTTCCCCTTTCCATCTCTCATTCAGCCAGAGACAGACTAATTCCAGACGACTAATGAATGTGCCACCTGACTTTCAGATGGAAAGAGGAGATCGTTTTTTAAAAAGGGACACAACTCAACATGAGAAATGAGTAGACTTCCGCCAGAATTCCCACAACCAGAAAAATACTGGAATATAACATTTGGGAAGCCGGGGAACAATTTCAGGCACTGTTTTCCACTGAGTCCTCCAATTTGGGAGGCTCTTTAGATGGAAAGACTATTGGGAATTAAAACTGCCCATAAAAATGCTTATCTTTAGTTTTCCTGTATACAAGAGGAAAGTAATAATTATCAGAGTGGCACCATTATGATGCAGTGGGCTGCCACGTTGAGGAAAAGTTCAATAGAAAGAACTCTGTGCAAAGAAGATTTCTGTGAGCCAAAGCACACCCAAGAGCCCCTGTTACTGCCAGGCCTGTCTTCTCGGAGCATCTCTCTCCTACAATGGGGAGAAACCCAGACACTGTCTTGATGAAATTTAGGCACCTTCCTGTGAGCCCTTGTTTCTGGTCCTTGAAATGCATCTCAACTCTGCTTCTTTGATCACAGCCCAGCATTCAGAAACCATTCATTGTCAATTATCAGGCATGGACAATGCAAGCAAATACCAGGGTTCTGGCTTTAGAGTTCCCTGTCATTGGTTAGGTATACCCTGCTCCCCACTGGACTAGTAATTCGCCTCTTACCACACACTTGTGAGAATGATGGATGAGTGAGTAGATGGGTAGATGGATGGATGGATGAATGGATAGGTAAATGAATGGATGAGTGGGTTAAGGGGTTAGGTGGATGAATGAATGGGTGAACAGATGGTTGGAAAGATGCATGGTTAGATGTCTGGAAAGGTGAATAAGTGGATGGATTAATGGATCGATGTGCAGGAATCTGAACCATTCCATCTTTATGTTGATACCAAGATAATTTCATAAGGAAGAGGCCCCAAGGGGATTCTGCTTCCACTCAGGAGATACATTGAGGACCACAGCTATATTTAGGTTGGGCAGAAGTTTACCTTGGGATAGACTTTAAGGCCCTGAAAAGCAGGAATGATAGCTTTTCATCTAGGAGACTTAGTAACCAGCTCATTCTCTGCCCATTGTAGGTGCTGGATGAATACTTGCTGATAAAAATGAATGATGGGCCAGGAGTAGTGGCTCACGCCTGTAATCCTAGCACTCTGGGAGGCCGAGGCAGGAGGATCGCTTGAGCTCAGACATTCGAGACCAGCCTGAGCAAGAGTGAGACTCCCATCTCTACTAAAAATAGAAAAAATTAGCCGGGCATGGTGGCACATGCCTGTAGTCCCAGCTACTCAGGAGGCTGAGGCAGGAGGATGGCTTGAGCCCAGGAGTTTGAGGTTGCTGTGAGCTAGGCTGATGCCACGGCACTCACTCTACCCTAGGCATAGAGCGAGACTCTGTCTCAAAAAAAAAAAAAAAATGAATGACTTCATAAGCACAAGGACAGCTCCCCCAACCCTTGAAATTCAACCCCACATTCTGATTTGTTGTGCTTATACTCCAACATTAAAATTTCATTCCTTTCTAAATTGATTAGTTATCCACAAGTATCCTTTTATGACATAAAATATTCCTGGATGTTCAAGACATTAAACCCTTTCCATCTGTTGTCTCACTCGCAGAAATTAGTTGGTCCCATTGCTGTCTCTCTTGATTCTTTTGCTGGTGACACTGGGCATGTGGCAGGTCCAGAGATTTCTCTGTCGGGGCTGAAGGACCCTTGCTGACAAGTGGGAGAGGGCACTTTGCAGTAGGAGCCACCAGTGCTTCGAGAAGGACTCCAGGATTCCTGTCTCTTGTGATCTCTGGAAGCCAGCCCCGCTCCTGATTGGATGGGAATTCCTTGTTTTGTCCCCTGGGTTTCTGCAAGCTGAGCAGGGCACTGAGGTGAGGAAAGAAACGAAGAGAGACGAGGATAGGTGAGAGCGAAAAAGGAAACAGGAGAAGAAGGGAGAGGGTTGTGAGGAGAGAAGAGAGGAAGGAGAAGGATGGGGCGGGGGGTGGTGGGAGAGAGAAAAAATAGAATGTGTTTGCAGCACAATGCCTCTAGTAATAATATTATCATTATCTTGCCTGAACAGATGTGCAAGGACTCCCATCTACTCATTACACAACATGAAAATGGAACACGTCTCTATCAGCCTCATCGGAAATCTTGACAGATGCTGTCAGAAAGTGTGTGCTATTCCTGAGATGTGATTTTTCAATGGTGTGTACTGTACTTCTTGATTAGGGGTACGGAAAAGAGGAAAAGAGAGTTGATTGTATTTTCTTTTGGTTTTATTTTTACCTTTCAAATTTTTCTTTCCAAGGAGGCCTTGCCCTAGACCACGTTGAGCTCCTCGGAATAGCCATGTCAGCACGGCCAGGGGTCTGGGGCTGGCCGGCAGTCTTAAGGTCACTCTAAAGCCCTCTGCCAAGGGTGCATTTCTTTGAAATACCCCCCTCAGGGCTCTCGCCTCCCCTCGCCCCAGCATTATTCATAGCTTCCACGCCCTCTATGCCACTTCGGCCCTGGCTTCAGTGTCCCTGTCTTGCATTGAGACATCTGAAGTGTGTGGTTCAAAGAAAGAACGGGTTTGTTCCCGGCTGAACAAGGCTCAAGGAGCCCAGCAGTGCCAGAGACAGGAGTGGGCACCGTTCGTCTCTGAACTAAAGCCATGCAGTGTGCACGTTCCCCGTGGCAAACACCACCTTTCCCGGGGAAGGCAGCCAAGGCCTGGAGCCCCGTGTAGGAAATCCCCTGTGAGAGCCCCTTCCTGAGCCCTGCAGAAAATGGTCCTTTTCATAGGCTCCGAGTCCCCTTCCTTTCTAGCCGTGAATGCCCACATCACATCCCCCTTCCTGGCCTTCTGCACTCTGTTCTCCTCCCAGTGCCCCCACCCGGGCGCCTCCCTGCTCCCGTGCCTCTTCCCCTTCCCCTCCGCACTTGACGGCTTCCCCAGACCTCAGAAAGCCACTTCCTTCCCCCACCTCCCCCAGACCTCAGAAAGCCACTTCCTTCCCCCAGCTCGGCTGCAGACCCTCCCTCCGTCCGTCCAGCACTCCGAGCCTGGCACATGAAACTTACATGCCATGACCTCACATCTCCAGGGGCTCCTCTGGGTTGAACCGAAATCATTTGTTGACTTTGCCAGATTAGCGAGGGGAGCAAATTCCACAGATGCCTCTGCCCCTAAGTCTCAAAGTTCAGACCTCCAGCCCGACAGCAGGCGGAGGTGAGGGAGGCAGCCCGAGATTGCACAAAGGAATAACCACAATAAGGACGACTCTGTGTGGAGCAATTGCTAGCTGACACGCGATGGTGTAAGACCTTCCCGTGGATTTTCAAATTTAATCCTCCCAGCAAGGCTCTGCAGTAGGTACTATCACTAGCCCCTTTTTATAGCCCGGGAAACGGAAGCCCAGAGCTGTTCAGTGACTTGCTCAAGGACCCCCAAGTTAGTAAGAGGCAAACCCAGAGTGTGCCGGGGGTGCTGGAATTTCTGCACCCACCCGGCTGCCTTTCCTGGCACGGCCTGGGGATGGCGGGAGCCCTGGATTCCAGCCCAGCTCTGCTGCTCCGTAGGTCGGTTACTTCAGGTCAGCCACGCTCATTTCCTGAGTCTCTGTTTCCTAATCAGAAAAATTATGGGTTTGGAGGTGATTTCTTACAGCCTTTTCCATATGGTGATGTGATGCTGTGATTTTTTTCCCCCCCTAATTATAAAAGTACTCAGAAAGATCTCCAAATTTTCTGGACTCAGGGCCAACCCCAGGCAAAGGGATAAAAGCAGGAGGCAAAATTGATCGTCGCTGACTCCTAAAGACTCCATCTGTGCAAGTTTTCCCACTGTCCAGATGAAGCCTTTGGTGCAATCCCTACTGCCCCTCAGGGCCCCAGGGCAGAGTCCCGGGGAGGGTGCCAGGAGGGCTTGTCCACCACCTGATGACTCAGAGGACACACACGCTCTGCACATCAGGATGAGTAAACCTGAGCTCCTCCTTAAAACAAAGCTGTCCTTTGAGTGTGTCCTAATTTGTAACGGGGATGAACGCGCTAACCAGTACCAGTCAAAGGCGACTCCAGCAGTTACTGCATTCCGGCTGTCTTGGGCAAGACGGAAGTGATCCGTCATGCTTTGATATGAGATGGAGTCATAAATACTGCTTTAGATAACGGGCATATGGTCAGAGACACCAGCATCGAGCTTCCCTGCAAGAAGCCTTCAGTGACTGCCCATTGCCTGCTGCAGGAAGTCCACAGCTTCAAGGAGCTCCACAAGCACCTTCTCTCACTGTCCCACCTTGGCCTCTGCCTTCCTTAGGAAGTCATGAGCAACCATCCCCTACCCCACCCCACCCCTGCCAACTCTGACTGAGCCAGCAGCGTCTCAAGCGTTAGCCCTCATATCGGTGGAAAATTTGTATCATTCTATTTGGTTGATTCTAAGATGCACCCTTTTTTTCATCTTAAAGTCTTCCTCATTTAACATTGAAGTTACAATCAAAGGCATGTCATTGTTTCTTTGACAGCACTTTTTCTTCCTTTAGTGGTTTGCAAAATGCTGGTGCATCTCAGATTGATGAAATACAGGAAGTAGTGTTCTCCAGATTTGAGCTCTGGAAGCTCAGCCAGAGGCTAGGAACCCATGTGGCCCTTCTCGGGGTCTTTTCCTCCCAATTGGAACTGGGTCCTGGTGTAAAGGGTTGATCTGTGGGAGCCTGTGTAGTTTGAACTCTAGTTTTAACCATAGTGCTATTCAGTGTTTAATGACTAGCTCTATCTGAACAGAGGATGGCTAAAAATAGCTGGCTTTTCTATCCTGGTGCTCACCTGCCAATCCTTAACTGTGGGTTCCCAAACCTTCATCCATATGCCCTCATTTCTTATTTCATGATTACTTGACAATAACTCAGGGAACTTGGCCTGTCACCCAATCATTCCCAGGGGATAATCCCTAATTGGTCTAAGCCATATATAGTTCTCTCAGGCTCCTTTACTAGTAGTGGCTGTAAGGGTGTGCGTGTGTATTAGTTTTCTATCGCTGCTGTAACAAATTACTACAACTTTCGCTCAAAACAACACAAATGTGTTTTCTTACGGTTGTGTGGGTCAGAAATGTATTATGGGCCTCACCTGCTAAAATCAAAGTGTCCATAGGGCTGTGTTCTTTTCTGGAGGCTCAAGGGGAGAATCAGTTTCCTTGTTCTTTCCGGTATTGGCAGATTTAGTTCCTTGCAGCTGTAGGACTGAAGTTCCTGTTTCCTTCTTGGCTGTCAGCCAGGGGCCTCTATTAGCTCCTACTGGCCCCTCTTTGGTTTTTACACACAAGACACTGCATGTCAGAACCAGTAACAAATCCCCCTCAAGATGCCATCTCCCTTAACCAGCTGGGCTGATGTGATTAGATGGGGCATACCAGATAATCCAGGAGAACCTTCCCATGTCTAGGTTCATGCCCTTAATCACACCTGCAAAGTCCCTTTTGCCACGTAAGGTAACATAGTCACAGGTTCCAGGGCACTGCAGTGTGAACACCTTTGAAGGCACTATTCCGCCTCCTGGGGTATGCGGCCCATTCCGGCCAATGAGATGTAAAGGGAAATGCGCTGAACTTTGGGGAAAGGATTTTGCTCTCTCATTAAAAAGGGAGACATTGAGGAGGTTTGCCCCACGGCTATCCACTTTGATTGAGGTAGTGTGAGCTGCCACAGGCCTCAACTCCAAGAATATAGGGTGACATGCTAAGAATAGCAGCAGTAAGTGTACCAGAGTGAAAAGATAGAAAGAGCTTGGCCTTTTTATGACAATGTTTAGCTACCGAACGCTAGAACCACTACTTCCAGGCTTCTTGTGAGATACTTCAGTATCTTTATTGTTTAAGCCCCTGTTAGTCAATTATTCTGTTACTTGCAGCTAAACTCATCCTAGCTGAAATTCAATCCCTTCATTATTGGTCCATTCCAATAATGCCTTGATATGCTACTTGGTGATTTGTTTGCCTGTCCTACCTAGTATCTTGGTCCTCCCCGAGTACTGGTACACACCTCCTCCCCAAACTTTTGCCTATTTAACCAAGGTCCTGACTTCCTGCCTAGTTCCTGCTGGCCCCCTCTTTAGGGGTTGGGCAAGGCCCCTATATTTCCAGCTGTGACTGGGGGTTAGTCTTGGATGAACAGCTCTCCTTAGCCCATGATACTGCCTGCAGATTGTACCTCCTGGTGGATATGATTGTCTGAATTATGCCTGAACTCGAGGCCCTTCAAACACGATAACCTGGACTGTTGTCTGCCTAAGAGCAGTTCAATCAACTCCGCCCTGTCCCATCCACTTGCGCCATTTCCCTCTCTGTTCATCCTGCATTCCCAGGGTCACAGCCTACTACACTCTGTCCATCTGGATGCCCTTAGTGCTGTATCTTAATATCCAGATATACCACACGGCTGGCCATTCTCTGATGACCTCTTTCACTTTCATGCTTCTGCACGATTTCTCATGCTGCTCCCCCAGATGGTAATGCCCTCTCTACACTCTTACATCTTTGCCATTAAATCCTTGTGGCAATCTGGTGAGGAGGTGCTATTATTCCCAGTTTTCAGATGATTAAGGAACATTAGAATCCTAGCACTCTGGGAGGCCGAGGCGGGCGATTCGCTCCAGGTCAGGAGTTCGAAACCATCCTGAGCAAGAGCGAGACCCTCGTCTCTATTATAAATAGAAAGAAATTAATTGGCCAACTAATATATAGAGAAAAAATTAGCTGGGCATGGTGGCACATGCCTGTAGTCCCAGCTATTCGGGAGGCTGAGGCAGGAGGATTGCTTGAGCCCAGGAGTCTGAGGTTGCTGTGAGCTAGGCTGTCACCACAGCACTCACTCTAGCCTGGGCAACAAAGCGAGACTCTGTCTCAAAAAAAAGAAAAGGAACATTAGGTAACTCATTCAGGGTGGCATGGCTAGGGAGTGGCAGGCTGGGATGCTAACACAGGTCTGTCTCTCTGACTTCAAGGCCCATGTCCTTTTCCTCTCATGTGTGGCATTTTGGAGACAGTGCCCCCCTCATGACTTGAAGGCCTTGTTTCCCTCTCTGCATTACAAGCAGCTTGAGGGCAGGTATTATCCTTTACTGCCCGCTAGAGTCAGTGGCGTGCTAGCAAATCGTTAATAACTCACGCTTGGAGGGGGG